GTGTTTCACACATTTAATGATTGGCCAAAGGAAAAAAAATTCACATTCATCATTTTCGGATGATTAATTGCAACAACAACAACAACAACGATATTTCAACCAAGAAAAAAATCCTAAAAAATTCAGTGGTTTTTTTATTATTATCGGGATTTTCATTCATTCAAATATATAATCAATCAATCAATTCGATGATGATTATCGCCTTATCTGGTTTTATGTTGTTGTTAAAATAATCCTGATTGACCACACATTCATAATGAAGAAAATTTATCACAAGCATCATTACCAAAACACCCACGCAATGTTATAAAATATAAAATACGCGTTTGTTTTTTTCAATACAATTTATCATTGTTTGAAAATTGATTAATGAGAAAAAACGTTGACACGCGCTTTTTTTTAAATGTATTTTTTTTCTAAAAAATACAATGAATGACCAATGGTCAACCAAAAGAAAAAAACATTACAATATGCCCAGTATCTACATGTGACAAAACCACCACCATCCTGATTATCTCTAAAAAAAAGATAGATATCCCTGTACGAATCTATCTAATCTATGACTCGTGTCATCGATATTTACCAATGTAAAAAATCACACACACACACACACACTGGCTGACCATTGGTTACCCATAAAACATTTATCCATAATCATTGGATAAATGAAATAAATTTTGGAACAATGCGAGAAACAAAAAAATAATGTTTTTTAATTTTTTTTCATATTCAATTCGAATTGGACATGGGATTGGAACAAAAAAAATAACAACAACCAGAACAATTAATTCATTCTTTTTGCCTCTCACTAACACCACAGAAATCTTTTCTGGTTTGTTTTTTTTTGATTGTTCGATGTATCGTCGTCGTCGTAAGATGATTTACATAAATTATCATCAACAACAACAAACTTTCGTTTTTTTTCGTTCTCTCCAATGTCACATGTCAGAAAGATTATCAAAGTGTCGAATAAAGGAGACAGGATTAAGAGTTTTTTTTTCGGTTTGTTTGTTTCGGGAAATGCTTTACAACAAACAAACATTTTCGGTTATTTGTCTTGCTGATAATGATGAGATGGTCATCATCATCATCATTGTCATTGATCATGGCAAACCAATGACAAAATCCTAAAATCTGAGGATTAAAACTTGACCTTCAAACCAGAAACAAATTCGGACAGAAAAAAAACAATGAAATATCAAATTTTAACCGGAAAAAAATTTTAAAATTTTTTTTTTTAAATTATAAAAAAAAACTATAAATTTTTGGTGAAAAATATAAATTACTAAATTTGTCGCCATCTATCGAACGAAACTTTGTTTGTTTGATTTTGTCTAAAAATTTAAATTCAATTTTTTTTCCCGTAATCTTTGGCCATGGTTATTTTTTTGGTTGTTGTTGTAGTTAACCATCATCAACAGTCGATGCTTGTAGCGCTACAATTTTCCACTTCTTTGTTCAATGATTTTTGTTTGGAAATTTTATCATCATTCTTTTTATCGATATCGGTTGTTGTTGTTGTTGTTGATTCATTAGTTTTAAAAGTATCAATATTTTCCGAACAACGAATAATTACATTTTTCTTCATAAATTTACCACCAAAACCATTTCTATTAATTTTTGGATCAGTTTTAAATTCGAATGTTTTAAATAATTTTGATTCAGAATCAACATCATCATTTTTATCAATTGTATTCAATAATTTTTCATCACTATTTTGATCTAATGATAATGATTTTGTTGTTTTCATTAAATTTTTATTCGAATCTACTATATTTGATGATTGTTGTTTCTTTTTCGGTTGATCATCATCATTTATTAATGGTGATTTTGTTCTTGCTGATGATGGTGATGGTGATAATGATTTTTGATTACAATCATCATCATCATCTTCATCACTTCTTGATTTCAACATATTTATTGTTTTAATTATTTTATCAATCTCTTCTCTTGGCATTGCACGTCGTCCATCCGGTGTAATTATCATACGATGTGATGGAATTTTTGTCATACTTTTCCATAATCTATTAACTTGTTGTTGTTTTTTTGATATTTTTCCACGATATTTTCTACGTTTTGTACCAATTTTTGATGATTTTGTTCGACGAATATTTGTTTTTGGTCTTGTTGCTAATCGTGATCGAGTGGTTGTAAGTCTTGATCTTGATGATTTAATTCTTGATCTTGATGATGCAATTCTTGATTTGGATCGAATTTTCGATCTTGATGATTTAATTCTATTCGAACTTCTTAATGATGATATTTCACGATCTATTTGTTTTTGTTGTTGTACTATTTTCGACATTGATTCCAATATAATTTGTTCTAAATGTTTAACAAACATTTCTCTTGCACGTTTTAAACTTGTTTTACTTAATGATACTGATCTTTTTGGTTCTAATCGTTGACGATTAATACTTTGAAAATTACGTGATAATCGACTTAGACGGCTTGGTCGTCGTCGTTGGACTGGTTCATCAACATCAAAATCATCATCAATTGTTTTATAATTCATTTTCATTGTTGATCGTTTTTTCTGTACGGTTTTTTTTCTACGTCTATTTGGATTTTTCATTCGAACAGTTAGTTTACTTGATTTTAATCCATTCATTTTTGTTGGACGTGTATAATTTAATTCTAAAATCGGTGTCGGTGGTGAATTGATTCGTTGAAATTTTGTTCGACGTTTTGATCGATATTTAATATTATTTAATGAAAGTAAAAATTTTTCCATTTTTTCTTGTTGAATTTCATCATCTTCATTCGAATCGCTATCATACGATTTAGCATCCATTTTTTGTTCGTCGTCGTCGTCGTTGTTGTTATCAATCAATATTGATTATTTTGCTTTTATTTTTTGTTTTACAAACAACTTTCGTATACACTTGAATCAAATAATCAATTCGAATATTTTTCGCATATTTATATGATGATCAAATTAATTGAATTTGTTTTAGGAAACGAAAACAAAACAAAACAATAAAATTAACAATAAAAATTCGACAAACTATAGTTTTGTATTTTTTGACACTCGATGGCGTTGTAAACATTTTCATTTTTAGCGGAATTTTGTCGTTTTGTTCGTATGCCGCCTTTTGTTTTTTTGTGTTCGATTCATATTTTCTCAACTAAATTAAATCTTTAAAAAATTCGTAAATTTCTTTCATTACAAACAATATTTTCACAAGCAATTATATAATGAGAATTTTGAATGACAAAGAATCCAAATGTTCAAATATTGTACACAAAGACAAATAACACACACATAATTATCATAATCATATAAATGTTTTTCAACAAAAAAAAATTCACACGGTCAAATGTCATTTCGATTGAGCAGAATGGAAATGTTTTTCCGATATAACAAGAGAATTTCATTTTATTGAGAAAATCAGCAAATCATTGATGTAAATCATCACCAATTTGTATATTGATCGAAAACTATCGTAATTTCATAGATTCAATTCGCACAACTAATATCCATTCCGTTGCATAATCATGGTAAAATTTTCATATTTGTATAAAAAAAATTCATATAAAAATCAAACGCGAAATAAGGATAACCAAATTACAATGTTATCATTTTTGTTTTTTTATACAAAATTTCAAAATTCATTTCAAATAGTGAATGTCGGCGAGAAACAAAAAAAAACGAACATAAAGAATCTAATTTGAATTCAATTTACGTACGTACATTTGCATTTGCATTTTTATTTTTCTCAAAAAAACCCTTTTTTTCCCTTTACATACAATCATCATCATCATCGGTTGGTCGTGGTCATTGGTCGGAAATTATTTCTTCTTTGATCATAGAACAACCATCATCATCATCATCATGATCATTATTATTCAATCTAAACATTAAACTAATGGATGAATAAGATCATCATCATTTTAACATTTTAGATATGATTATATTAGAATTTATATATCTTGTTGATTATGATTATCATCATTGAAACTAATGATCATTGACAAATGGTTCAACACACAATCCATACCTATCTATACTACTATATGGTTACTGTCTTTGTCTGTGTAAAAAAAAACAGAATGAAATCGAGTTATTCTTCAATACTGGAGATCACATGGAGAAGAAAATATAAAGACATTTTCTTGAAGAGAATCAACAACAAGAAACATTATATAATTAAGAAAACCATAATAGTTTTTTTTTATCCATCGTCATAGATGGTTGGATGGATGGATGGTTGGAAGATGGAAAATTATTATCATTATGTTTTCTCGGTTTACCATAAAGGGAAAAAAACATTTTTTTTTATTTTGTTCGTTTAACGTGATTCATATCAAGTTTTCTTATTTCGAATGGTATTTTCTATTCCGGTTTCAATCATCATCATCATCATCAACCGAATGAAGATTGGTTCGGTGACATTTATATACATTTATACAATCAACACAAACATATAAATTACATTGACTAAAAACATGATGATGATGATCATCATTAAATTGGATTTTGATTTTCTTCATTCTTTCTTCTTCCTCGATTGTATTAAAGTGGATGAATATTTAATTGAAAATTCATGATCAATCAATCAATCAATCAATCAATCATTTAATCATTTGAATAAATTAAAAGGTAGAAAAAAACAACGATTAATGATTAGGGGGAAATTAGATTAATCATCATCATTAACGATGTTTTCTTCAGAAAAAGAAACAACAACCTTAAATTGATGAATCAGATCCATTAAATTGAATTTTACTTTGGTTTGTACGATAACCATCAATTCCAAAAAATGGTAATTAACTTCAAAGATTCTATTATAGTAAAGATATTACTTGGCATCAATCAATTGAATGACAATTTTACGAGCAGAATAATATTTGTTGAATCATAGAAGTTTCTTTTTGAAAAAAAACTTGATTGAATTGAAGTAAAGTGAATTTATTCATGCGAATCAAGTTTGTTTAGTTTAGTTAGTTATAGTAATCATCGATCATAACAATGTATTATTATTGTCAAGAAACATTCCTTTGTCGGGTAAAAAAACATCATTTTAATCAATTTTTCACTTATTCATAATGTTCATCTTGTTTTATAAATGCTCGATTTATATCATTTTTATTTTGTAATGTATTTATATAGATATCAATTTTCTTCAAACAATGCCAATAATAAATGAAACCAAATAGGCCGATAATTATACCAACAACAGTTGTTGTTTCACCTGTAAAAAATTAGCAACAACAAAAAAGGTTAATTAAAAAGATTTGTTGAATCCAATTAGAAAACAAACCGCTCCATTTGATAATTCTTTTGCCCAAATAAACACCACTATTACTCCAATCGCTTGTAAAACGTACACGTTGTAATATCATTAATAAACCACCAATAACGACAAGAAGAATTCCTAGATAATTTCATTTTTTACAAAAATAAATTCAAATATCATCAACAAAAATAACAAACCAATTATAGTGATTGCAACCGAAATATATGCATGCATAAACCATTTGAATTGTTTTTCGGATCGATGTTTTTCAATTTGACCACCACCATCATCATTATCATCAATATTTTTTGATTCGGTTAATGGATTATTTGTCATATCATCATCATCATCATCGGTATCATTTTGATAAACATGATGTTCCGTTTTAATTTCGGACATTTTTTTATTTTTCCCGTTATAAATTGAATGAAAAATTGCAAATTTTTTTTTCGTTCGTTGCAATCATAAAACCAATAACATTAACAATCAAGAAATCATCACCAAAATTATGATCGTCGTCATGGAATAATGTTGGAAAAACAAACAAACAAAAATACAACCGATATTATCTTGTTGATGGTGATAATCATTTTGGTTACCTAGAGACCACCATCAAGATATGTATCAATATCAATATGAAAAACCCAAAAAAATTATCAATAAACAAACAAAACAATTTTATCTACATCAACAAATAACCAAAATCCATATAAAGCCAAATCAATTTCAACAAAAAAAAAAATGTTTATTTTAACATCATTCAGTTGAACATTTCAAAACATGGATATTCATGTTGTAATAATAATCGATCGATTATCCAAATTATTTGTTGTTGTTGTTGTTGTTGATAAAATCTGTGGTTGATAATGTGATTTTATTCGATGATTTGATTGTTGTTGTTGTTGTTGATTATTATTATTATTAAACAGAATATAATTGGATAAATGTTCATTAAATGAATCGATTGTACGTGTTACACGGCTATAAATAAAACTACCGATTATGGCAAATAATGCACCTGTTAAAACGGACAGAATAATTATTTATTGAATCATCATTATAAAAAAAATAACATTACCCGAACAAATGAAATAAAGTTCATATGGTATATGATGAAATGCACGTGTATTTGTTGTAACAAGACGAACATATTTAATAAATGCTGTCCAATAACCAATAAGTAAACATAATAATCCTGAATCATCATTGATGGAATCAACAGAAATTAAAAATTGAAAAAAAAATTAAATTAAAAATTAAAAATCGAAATCATACCGAATGCTATTACAATCACTGAAATATATAATAATTTGAACCAAATTGTCCATTTATTATGTTGATTATACATATTTTATTTTCTTTCTTCTTTTTTGCACTTAAAAAAATCGACAAACAACATAGAATGATGGCAAGAATCAAAATGAAAATTCAAAAACAAAAAATTGGAACAAACCAAACGAAATGACAAACAGAAAAATATGGCCAACCCAACAAAAACCAAGCTAACTTTGATCAAACTGTCAAACTTAATACGGACCATATGGATAACCAACAACAATAATCAACAAAACGTGTTGGTCAACTGGTGGCTATCAACTATCAATGGGGATTAGAGAGAGGGGAAGAAAACGTGTTAATTGATCTCATATGTTTTATTGTTTGTTTCCTTTGTTCAATTTTGATCATCCGCATTTGCAAACAACAAACAAACAAAAAACCGAGGAGTGTCAAACAGAAATTGACAAACAACAAAAAAAAATGCAATCTTCTGACCATCTGGATTGTATTTTTGGAGGGTAATATGTTTGGCAAACAAACATTCTCGATATATTGGCAACAACAAAAAAAAACATGATCATAAGCGGAACCAAAAATGAAATGTTCAAAATGTTCAACATTGAGAGAAAAACATTGATTGGATTACATTTCGATCAAAAATTCATCATCATCATTATCAATCGTTAAAGAATCGATCAATCGATTATATTAATCAAATGTTAAATAACATTGACTACTTGAACAACAACAACAACGAAAACTGACAATCATATTAATGATAACTGTATTCCAATTATTATTATCATCGTTCAGCCAACCAACAAAAAACGAGGAAACATCGAAAAAGAAACAATAATCAACCGTGATGATCAAATTTGATTGAGAAAAGATCGACTTACAAAATCGATTGATCGATTTCGATCGAACAAAAAAATGAAAAGAATCGATTCGTGAAACGATACAAAAAAAAAATCAGTTTAGTTCATTCAGGGTAATCACTTGATGATGATGATAATAAGGAAAGCAAGAAAAACGACATACAATACAATTAGAATGTCATTGAATGAATGAATGAATGAATGATTTTTTTTCCTGACAACAACAACAACAAAATGAAGATGGATGTTGTTTTCTTGGATGGAAAACACTATGTTATTATCATGTTATCTATACACCCGATACACACATTCACGGTTAAAATTTTTTTTATATTCAAAAAATTGGATTCATTCCATCAACCAAAAAAAAAACAACAAATTCTACTCAATTTCAGTCAATCTTATTATATAACAAGAAAAAATGATGGTACCGGAACCGAAAAAAAGAAAAAGAAAAACATTGCCAAAACAACAACAACAAAAATTGTTAATGATTTGAATTCGATTGACAAGGAATATATCCAAGGCCATCAGTCAGTCAAACGGTTGTTGTTGTTTTACATTTTGTTGTAATGTTTTTCAAATCTAATGTAAAATTGATTATTATGTTGAATGTCAAAGATTTTGTTGTTTTGTTTTTTCTTTTTCCTTAAATGTTTCCAAACAAAAATATTAACCGGTTATTATTTATTACACACACACACGCACGCACATCATTTACCGATCCTTCGGTTAATGATAATAAATAAAAAAAAAACAATCGTATTATTATTATCGTGATATTCGGGTTATCTATTTTATTATCATTTTTTCGGTTTGATTCAATTTGATTCAATTCAAAGATTATCATTATTGAAAATGATGATGATGATGATGAAAAGATTAATTTTTCCATGAAGGAACCCTTACAACAACAACAACCATAAAATTCAATACTTTTGGCTATTATCCAAAACGAAACAATACGAAAAAAACAATAAAAAAAACAAAACAAAACAATGCAATTTGATTCATAACGTTTTTGAAAAAACAGTGAAATGACAATAGAATCTTTGAAATTCAATTTTTCAATCTAATCATATGATGAAATTGATCATCATCATCATCATCATTTGATTCCTATGGAGTTTGTTGATGATGATTGAATTGAATAAATGTTTTTTTTTGTTTTGTTTTTGTTCAAAGAAAAAAACAGAATCCGTTCAATCATTATCATTCACAAAATGATCATTATCATCATTATTTTGTTTTTTGTTTTCTTTGTTGGTGAGAACAAAATTTCAAGAGTTTAAACATTGAAACCGAATAACAACAGCAACAAGAAAACAAAACAATGACCCTTATGACCAATTATATGGTGTGTTTTCCCATCTATTTTGAATAATACAAATCTCATTATCTAACAACAACAACAACAGTAATGTTGTTGATAAGAAAGAATCACATTTCATTGAAACATGATGAAAACAAATGAAAACAAAAAAAAACTTTTTAAAACCGAAAAAATCCTTACTCTGAAAAAAGGGGTAAAAACATGATGATCCTCATGGTAATTTTTGTCAAAAAACAATCATAAAATTATTAAAATGATTATCGTATCAGGTAAAGCTATTTCGCAGCTATTTTTCTTCAAAACAAAAAAAACATTACCTATTCGAATGAAAATTTAAAATATTCGGAATCAATTGATCAATTTTTTCCAATGTAGAAAAACAAAACAAAACAAAAAAAACTTGATTAGTTTCCGTATCCCAAAATCCAACTATGACCATTATTATCGTCTACAATGGATGAACAAAGGGGGATAATAAAGATAAATCTTTCATTTCATTTCATATTTAATTTCAACAAAAAACAAAAAAAATTAAAGAAAATTTATGAAATTAAAAACAAACAGGAATTATTTTCATTCATTTTCGTTCTTCCTTATCTCATTACATTCATTCTATTCTCTTTTTTCCCTGTGTTTTCTGACAAAACAAATAAAATTCTGTCGTAAATCAGAATCACATTCATTTAATGTCAAAACGTTGTTGTTTTCTTTAATCTTTCATTTCATTCAAAGAAATTAAAGTCAAAAAAAAAACAAAAGGATAAATCATTAAACTTTTCAACAAAAAAAAATTCTTGTTTTTTTTCGTTGCTCAACCAACAAAAAAAAAATTGCCATCAAATCCAAACGGGAAAAATTCTACACTGAAAAAAATAACACTCGAATTCCAACATGCATGACATGAACAAACATCGAAAACAAAAATCAATTCATCCAAAAATGTAATCAATGTCAAATGTTATTTTCAATCATTCAAATTCTATACGAACTAAACAGGAAAAAAAAACAAAAACAAACAACTTGAATGATAATGATGGTCGATGATTTATCACCATCATTATCATTGGTTAACTCGAACAAAAATAAACATCTTTAGAAATATGAATAACATCCATTTATTATTATGGATTTCTTTTCAATCCTTCAATAGTTATCATCATCACTGTTTCTCTGTTTTGTTTTGTTTAGAATAAAATTCAAACAAATCTAACTGAAGAGTGTTAAAATATATTGAAAACGAATACCAACCCAAAATGGATGATAATGGAAATTGAAAAAAACAAATTTATGTGAGAACTTTGTAAAGAAGAAAATGAATTTGGAAATTTTTTTTCTTCACCTTTAAAAATCATATAGATCGATCAATAATGATTTTTAACGAAAAAAAAAACCAAAAGACAGACAAATCAAACAAATGTTTATCAGTGTTTGTACGATACGGTCAATGATAAAACCAGGCAAACACAACCTGGTGGGTTATGTAATACACAAAACACCGTATTTCTTTTTGCATAGAAAAGTTGTTCGTTTGGTTTTTCTTTTACTAAAAGAATAATGATGATGATATCACCTCCTTCTTTTATTTTTTCTCATTTCATTCGAAAAAACTTTTTCTGTTAGTTTCATTTTTGAATATAAATATCGGCCATGAAAATGACATTGGAAAATATTTTGTTCATTTGAAATTTTTTTTTTAATGTTTCGAACAACAATCATCCAATAGCATTCCCAAAAATGGAATATTTAAATCAATGAAAATCATTATCTTTTGCTTCGTAATTTCAATGTTTTTTTTCATCATCAAACATGACGAGAATAGTAGAAAATTTCAATAATGATGATGATGCGGATGATGTTGAACAAATTAGTTTTTCATCATCATCATCTTATCACCATCACCATCATCAATATCGTGATTTTGATTTTCCAAATAAATCTCATTCACAACATATGGCTATTATATTATCTTGTTTGATAACATTTTTGATAAGTTTATTTGCAATTTCTTTGACATTATTATGGATGTTAAACAACAATATAAATATAAATCAATCGACAACAATCACTACAACATTAAATAATGAACCAGAAATATTAATAACATCATCAACATCTATGTTAATATTGAAAGATAATCTTGTCAAAAATTTCAATAAAAATGGTCATATTATTCGAATAAATCTTCATGATAATGATATTATTGTTGATAATCAACATTTTGATGAAAAAATCCTTTCCAATAAACATAAACTTCAACGAAATTCAACATCTTTATATTCGGAACAAAATTTGAATGAAATTTTAATCGAAAAATTTCCCATAAATCATCTAATGAATTTAAATAATTTTCAATTTATTAAAAAAAATTCTAATCGTTGCCAAAATCTTTCTCAATTATCATCAACCGAATCGAATAGTTTTTTAAATCTAGTCATTATTATTCATTCGGCTGTACAGAATTTTCATCATCGTCAAATTATTCGTGAAACTTGGGGAAAAATCCAACCAATTGATTTCAATGATCATAATCATCGACAACAAAAAGCCAATATTATTTATGTGTTCATATTAGGAGCTACAAATTCATCTCAACTACAGAATCATTTGAATGAAGAATTTGAAAATTATCATGATTTAGTTCAATCAAATTTTATTGATCATTATCAAAATCTGACTTATAAACATGTTTCAAGTCTTCGTTGGGCAATCGAATATTGTTATCATGTTGATTTTATTATCAAAATTGATGATGATGCTTATTTAAATTTATATACTGTGATAGAATCATTGATAAATTATAAAAATCATTTAATTACCGATCGAAATATTTTACGTGCAAAAAATCTACTTGCATGTAGTGTATTTCCTTCGAATACAAAACCTAAACGTCATGGAAAATGGTCATTATCATTGGAATCATATCCCGATAAAACATTTCCATCATATTGTTCAGGTGTTGGTTATGTTATAACACCGGATTTAGCATTTGATTTATTTGAAGCAGCACAAAATGCTCATACTTTTATACCGTATATCAGTATCGATGATGTTTATATAACAGGGTTATTAATGGAAACTTTACAGCCATCAATTCAACCAGTGCCATTAAATTCATTATATGTTTATAATGTACAAAAACTTCGTAATTGGTTACGAAATTCGGATGATATTGTTTGTCCAAATCCATATTGGATAGGTGATATTGGAAATGAATCGAATCGTGAACAATTAATAAGAAAATTATGGCAAAAAACTAAAATTGCATGGCAAAATTATCAACAAAATCGATGTAATTAGAATATGAGCTTTTAATTTTATTGTTTTATTTAAAAAAAAAATTTAACATTAAAAAAGAAAAAGAAATAAAAATTTAAATATTATTCAATAAACGTAACAATGGTTTTGGATTGTATGGAAATAGATTTTTTTCATAAAGTTTTTGAATTTTTTGTTCAAGTTCATTGAACATTTGAACGATTGATGAAAACAATTGTAATGAAAATTGTTTTCGATGAAATGATAAAATTCTAAGATAAGCAATAAGAAATTGTAAAACAATGGATGCCGTTTCTTGATCCGTCAACAGCATATCTAATATTACAGATGAATCATTGTATATGGATTTAGTTATAAAATGTTCAAAAAGTTTATGAATTAGAAATTCACTTTCATTATTATTGATTTTCGTAGTCGAATAAAGTAACAATATATGATTGAACATTTCAAACAATTCCGAATCTTCGGTGATAAATATTTCAATCAACCATTTGATTGGAAAATTTTCATTCTGTAAATCAATATTTTCAATTCTAGATTTTAATAGATTAAGATGATTGAATAAAAATCTATAGCATTCTTGCTTGTCAGAATCCTGGATGGAAAGAATTTTTAAAACTAATAGAATGTAACACCGGATTAGTGGACAATCATAATGAAATTCTAAATCCGATGATGATGATGATGATGAAGGCGGTAAAATAAGAATGTTACCGGCAAAATCATGTGCTTGGCTAAAGAATTTCCCATACGATATCAATAAAAGATTCGAATGAATCCAATGATTTTTCAACCTATCAATCACTCGAGGTATGTGTTGGTTGTAATTGTTGGTAACAATAGATGAAGAAAATTTTAACAATTCATATGCAAAACATCTTCGATCAACATTATGATAATATAATTCCAATATCGATTCTAATTGTTGATCCAAAATTTGATAATCATCATTTTGTTTTGGATGTATGAATATTGTTTCAATTATTTTCATCAAACATTTTACACTATAACAAAGACATTGATTTTCATCGACTAATTCGATAGAATGATGAAAACTTTTCCATAAATAACTTTGATTATTCAATTTTGTGATAAGAATTTTATGAATAATTTCTTTTCCATCAAATTCTTCATCATCATCATTATCAAATACAGTGTTTAAAAGTTTAAATAAAATTTCATGATAAACAATAGGATTTAATAATGATGAAATAATATTAGTTTGACATAAAAGTTCAATCCAAATTTTTTCAAATTCTTCATTAGTAATGGATAATAATTTCTCTTTTAAAATTTCAATATTCCAATATTGTAAAAATATTTTTGTTTCATTATCATTATCATCATCATCATTATTGTTTACAATAAAAATTGATAAAAGTTTAGCCAATGAATTGGAACAATCAATGGAATTATAATAATGTTGAATCTTTCGACCTAATGACATGACATTATCTGAATCTTTTAAATTGAAAAAAGAAAAGAAATTTAATGATTTTATTTTACCTTTAAAAAAAGATATTTAAAATATACTCACCTCATGAAATGAAATGTTTATACGAGCGAAACGATTGTTTTGAACGTAACATTCATTCGAATCTAAACTCAACACCCCCGAAAAAAAAACATTGATTTGTGTGTCGCTCAAATGTGTTTACATGTCATTTTTTTTTTGTAACCAACCTGTTCCATTTATAAATTGTATTTTATAATATTGTCCATTTTTTCCTATAATTTGGTGAGAAATTTATTGATTTATTTGAATTCATTTTAAATTTCCAATCTTTACAAATGAACAGAGTATCTTTGATTGGAAAAAACATCGTTTTTGCCATATGTAACATTCCTTATCATCGACGGTTAACCAAAGTTTTTTCAAAATTGATATTGTCATCGTCATCGGGTAAATCGGTTTTTTTTGTTTGTTGTCAACTTTTTTTCATTGTCATTGTTGGTTATTGTACACACAGAGAAAGAGAGAAAAAACTCGCCCATTCATCGAACCATTATACCACCACAAAAGCCAAAACAACCAGTTGATTTTTATCATTTTATTTTCAAATCTTTCATTCAAAATCTATTTTAAAAAAACTCGCACAGTGTGTATGTGTTTTGTGGCAAAGTCATTCAATATAATAGGTTACAAAGATTTATCATTTATCATCATCATCATTCCGGCAGCGATAGGAGAAAAACAACAAAATCTACTTTCGACATTTTATGTTGCAAATAATAATAATTCTCAATCGATAAATAAATCAACTCCCACCATCATTGATTTTTTTGTTTTTGTAGGGTTTTATATGAATTTGGTTTTCAAATAAATCAGAAAAAAAACTTTTGAATACCGGTGAAACTGATTTGTTGATTGGTGTTGAAGCTAATTCCAGCAAGTTTGAAAACCTCGAATGAACATGATGACAGAAACGGAAGATCAAACAATGTCAGTCCCATCAAATTTGCAACAACATCAACCAGCCACATTGGAAACGACAAACAATTCCAATATGATTAATGTAAAAGTAAGTTTTTTGAACTTTAAAAACACATTGATAATGATGATTCCATAATGGAAATCATTATCGGGGAGTTACCCACAAAATCAGATATAGGAAAAATTCATAAACATTTTGAGTTTAAGTTTGATTGCTTTGATCATTATTAAAATGGATTTGGTTAAATTTTCAAAAAATGTTGATGAAAATGTTGTTAAGGTTTATACAATTTTTGGTTTCTCATTGTAAAATTATTCCAATTTGTTTTTTTTCTTTTATTTTATAGCCACGAACAGAAACTATTGATCTTTCGGATACATCATTATTGGTGGACATATCGGATGCTCTTAGTGAACGTGATAAAGTTAAATTCACTGTCCATACAAAGGTTTTTATAATGATAATGATAAAATTCTTCATTGAATAAAAATTGAAATTTATTTTCATTACAGACAACATTACCTGAATTTAAAAAGAATGAATTTTCAGTGGTTAGACAACATGAAGAATTTATTTGGCTACACAATAGTTTGGTTGAAAATGAAGATTATGCCGGTTATATAATACCACCAGCACCACCACGTCCAGATTTTGATGCATCAAGAGAAAAATTACAAAAATTAGGTGAAGGTGAAGGTACGATGACTAAGGAAGAATTCACCAAAATGAAACAAGAATTAGAAGCCGAATATTTAGCTACATTCAAAAAAACTGTTGCAATGCATGAAGTTTTTCTTCAACGTTTGGCCAATCATCCTTGTTTTCGTAATGATGCTAATTTTCGAATATTTTTGGAATACGAAAATGATGTAAGAATTGTTTAACGTTGAAATTTTTTCAATTGAAAACAAACATTTTTTAAAAAATCATTTATACAGCTAAGTGTAAGAGGAAAAAACAAAAAAGAACGTTTGGTTGGTTTGTTTTCGAATATTCGTTCATCGACTGATGGTTTAGTGTTGAACACAACACAAAAAGATATTGATGAATTTTTCGAAGGACAACGAGTTCAACTATCTGATTATTATAATGTTATCAAAAATCAAACCATCAAATCCGATGCTATGGTCAAATCACATAAAGGTTTGTTGTTTGAAAAAAAGGAAAATTACTTTGATGTTTTTTTATCCTTAGCCGTGGCCGATTCATATATCAAAATTGTAACACCATTAGTACAGATGGCTAATTCACCCGAATGTACACCAACGCCTGAATTGACAAAATTTTATCTACGTATTGCCGATGCATTAGAAAAGCTTCGTAAAACAGAAAATCGTGTTGCTTCGGATGAAGATTTAAAGCTATCCGATCTATATCGATATTATATGCGCGATACAGCAGCCGCTAAAGAATTATTAAATCGTCGTCTTCGATGTTTGGCAAATTATGAAACGGCTAATCGTAATTTGGAACGTGCACGTGCAAAAAATCGTGATGTACATCAGGCTGAAAATCAACAGCAACAAGCATGTGAAAAATTTGAAAACATTTCCAAATTAGCTAAACAAGAGCTAACTGATTTCAAAAAACGTCGTGTTGTTGCATTCAAAAAATATTTGGTCGAAATGTCCGAATTAGAGATCAAACATGCAAAGGTTTGTAAACATAAAATTTTTAAGAAAAATTATCTAAAAAATCATTATTTTTACAATTTAGTCGCAAGTCCAATTGATACGAAATTGTATTGCATCGCTTAACAATGATTGTACGAATGAAGAAAATTAAATGGTTAAGGATTTGATGTTGAGAGCAAAAGAAATTCTATTCAAAGTATATACCCCGTTGATCATGGAATAATGAATTGTACTCATTACAAGAAAAAAAATGTTAATTCTCATCATTATTATTTAAAAATTATGATACTTAGTCAAAAAAAAACTAACAACTTTTTTTTCTATTTTTCTACAAATTTTATTCTTTAAAATTTCCTATCAATTGTTCAGTTTTTTTCCGGTTTTTTTTTGGATAATAATGGTTATATCATTTTTTTCAATGTTTTAAAAAAATTAAATAAAATTTCAAATTAATAAATCAATCTTTTTTAGCAATCAAACCGTTCAGATTTGGTTGAAGTAATAATTCTACACAGGTTTCAATCAATTTTTGATGATCATTTTTGATTTTTTCCCAATCACTATAAATTATTTAAAACATTATTAATGTTGGTAAAAACAAAACCACAATAAACATACCTTTCATCTGGTCGAGCTATAATTTCGGAATAATATTTAATTTTCGGTTCCGTACCACTGGTTCGTAAAGTAATGACAGAACCATTTTCAAAATAAAATGTTAACATATTATTCTGTGGTAATGTTGCTTTTTGATCATCAGTTTTCGAATCAAAACCACGAACAAGATCACGAACACGAATCACTTTGATTCCATTGATTTGTTTGATATACTATTAGACAAATAATCATTGATGAAAAATATTGAACAAAACAAAAAAAATTTTACACTAACCGAATTTGGACCATCAATATTTGACATTCGATTGAAAATTTGTTCAATTTTATTATTATCATAGCAAAGATAATAGGAATTGAGACTATAATGAAAACCATATGTTTGATAAATTTCATTCAATTTATCTCGGAATGTTTTTCCATTCGAATGTAAATAAGCAGCTAATTGTAACATTGTAGCCATAGCTGAAATTCCATCTTTGTCATAAACATTTGTACCAACCTTATTAGCAAATGGAAAACAAACATATAAATATTAGCCTTGTAAATAAATTAAATTTAACTACAAAAAGGAAAATAAAATTATCAGATACCATAAAACCGATTGCTTCTTCAAAACAAAGCAGAACTTGTTTTCCTTCTTTTTCCAAATCATAAGCAATATTAGCCATCCATTTAAAGCCTGTTAATGTTTCAATAAAATTGAATCCTTCTTTTTTAGAATATGTTTCCAAAATTTTTGATGAAACAGCCGATGAAATCATATAACAATCAGTTGTTTTTTTATTATCTTGTTTGGATAAACAAAATTCATTCCATATCCACCAGCCAAGTAATGCGCCAATTTCATTGCCATTAAAGATACGCCATTCATTATCATTCTGTTTTTCTCCCATACAAAATCGATCCGAATCAGGGTCAACAGCAAATATCAATGTACTTCCAGTTTGTTGTGCAGTCTTGTATGATTCATCCTTTATCAATGGAAAAGTTGTGTGATCAAAAAAAATTTTAATTGAAACAATTAATATTTACTGATCTTGATTACTTACAAAAACACCTTGACCTTCTTCGGGATTGGGAAAATGAACGGTAGGAAATTCAGGATCAGGCATTTTCTGTGATTCAACTGGATAATGATTTTTGAAACCAAATTCTTCAAACATTTTTGCCATATAATCATGACCAACACCATGTAATGCTGTATATGTTATTTTAAGATCTGATTTTTTGACCAAATCAAGACGTGTTGAACATTTCATTAGTTGAAAATAATATTGTTGTGAAACTTGACGTAATGGATCGAATATTTGAATACCATCATAGTTAAAATCATTGGAAATGTTCCAAATTTCATTATTCCAAGGTTTTAGATTTGCCAATATTGAATTTTGTATGTTTTTATCGTGTGGTGATAAAATTTGTGCACCATTATTACCGTAAACTTTATAGCCATTATAAACTTTAGGATTATGTGATGATGTGATCATAATACCGGTCGAAGCATTCAATAATTTTGTTGCAAATGCTACGAATGGTGTTGGTACAACCTTGGAAAACAATGCCACTTTGAAACCGGCATGACGAAAAATATTCGTTGTTAGTCGAGCAAAATCATAAGAATTATGTCGGCCATCGAAACCTATTACAACCAATAATTCGGTAGCAGTAGTGGGCAATGTTTTTACATATTTAGCCAATCCTTGTGATGTTTGTATTATGACTAGTTTATTCAAACCATTGAAACCTGGTTCCATAATACCACGTATACCGGCCGTACCAAAACATTGTCGTTCAAGTAATAATTTCGATAAACGTTCAATTTCATTTGATTCGACCAATTTAGCAATCTCATACCAAGTTTGAACATCCTATTTTTGAATATAAATGACATAAGAAATTGAAAATAAAAAACAACTAATCAAATTACCTTATCCCATTCAAGCCAATTGAGAACTTTTTCCTTTAATTCTGTAGGAAATTTTTCGATATTGGTTTTCATCGAATTGGTTAATTGATAATTCACCATTTTTATACAATTTTTTTTTAAATTGAAAATGAAATTGGATTGTCAAAAACTTGTCAGAAGAAAAACTGTTTTTTGGAGAAAAAAGAGAACAAAGTTGATGATATTTATATATCAACAATATGAGAATTGTTTAATTTGATGATAATAAAAAGACCACGCATTGAGCAAACACAACAAATTATCAATCGAACGAAAAAAAGAAATTTATCTATTTGTCTTATTTGCCAATTCTACCTTTTTTTTTCTAAGCTAACCATAAAAATGTCACCATCATTAATCGAATCAACGAGCAGTAAAATTATTTGCAAAATCAAATCGAATATTACACACAGTTATAAAATAAAATATCCAAAAAAACATCTTGCATTTTATTATTATTATTATTATTATATTTATGTCGAATCATATAATTATTTTAACTTGTTATGTTATGGGTATGTATTTAACATAATGTAAAATGACTGATTTATTGTTGTAATTAATTCAAAACATCATCACCATTTTTATTATAAATGTATATATCATTTATAAGGGGGAAAAAATATATATGTGGTCAGATTATCAGATAGGGATTTGCGGGTGTGTGTTATAATCATAAACAATTGTATACAACATCCAAAAAGAGAAAAGAAAATGAAAATGAAAAAAATGGATAATAAGGATTCATATCATCAAAATACGATGATAATATGATGATGATACGGGATTTATTTGTGAAGAGAAAAAAAAGAAGAGCAAAAGAGAAAAAATCAATCATTGACTAATGAGAAGAAAGAAAAAATTTATTCATTTTCTTCTGATTTAAAATATTTTTTTTTTAAATTTGACATCCCTGATCACATCGATTGAATGAGGAAAAGAAAAAGATAAAGATCGCCAATAAGAAATGGTGAAAGAAAAAGTGAATGGGAGAAAAAAAAGTGTGGCCCAAAAAAAAAGTAAAATCCGACAGACATTATATGAAATTAAAGAATGAAAAGATATCACAATTTGGTTTTGTTGTTGTTTCAATTCTTTTTTTTGGATTGATTTTTTCGATCAATACAAAATTCAATGTTTGCACCCACACACACACACACAACATTCATAGTGGTGGGCTATTATATGCTGTAAAACTTAATGAATGTGATAAATTGGATTTGGAAATTTTATCATTATGATGATGATGATGACGATGATGGTGATAATTATTATATCCATCATTATTGTTGTTGTTGTTATTATTATTAAAATTTGTTGGATAAAATATTTGGCTCATTGCTTTTTTCGTTAATGTTGGGCCATAATGATAATGATGAGAATATGATGATGATGATGATACGTTGTTATTGTCCGATTGAATTTCAATGTTTACTTGATTATTTGGATTTTTATCAACAAAATTTACATTAGTATTTTTTCCGGAATCAGATTTTTCAAATTTTTCCTCATCAATTTCAATGGTTTTCGATTGTTTGGCTAAATTTTCTTTATCTTCACCATCAATCCGTTGATGACCAACAACAAATGTGATAGGTTTCTGTTGTGGTAATTTTTTATTAGTATTTACATCAAGTTGAATTGTTTTGTTTGGATGTTGAAAATTTGGACAGCATGGTTTGTGCGATTTATGGCAAATATTGCAATAATTGTTAGATAAATATTCCATTGAACGAGATTCAAATTTGTTGAGAATAAGATTCACTGGCACCTGTACATTTTGAATTGCTGTTTCAGCTGGTACAGCCACTGATGATGTTTTAGTAGTCAGATTCGATTGTTTTTTATCATTTTCCAGAGAATCGTTTATAACATGAACTTCAACTGGCGATAATGATAATTGTGTTCCGTTATTATTTGTTGAAACGGAAAGAACATTAGTAGAAGCTTCTAGAAGTGATCCTGCATGTGCTTTTAAACTAGCATCATCGATCAATGATGGATTGGTATTGACTGATCGATCACCAAAACTTAATGTTACCGAAGATGAATCAGCATTCTGACTGCTTAAACTGAAACGTTTGTTATTGGAATTAATATCTGTCAATGTTTCTAATTTCATTTGTGCACCATGTATATTTCCATGTTGATTATTGTTTCCATTATTGTTATTAATGTAATTGCTTGTTATACTTCCAGCACAGGCTGCAATCGATGAACTTTCACGATCCGGTTGTATATCAAGTACAACTCGATCTAAATGACTATTTGAACCAATACTTAAACTTGCTGACATTCCCAATGAAACGTCACCAATACTTGGATTAGTAACTGCTCGACCACTAAGAGCTGTATCTACGCTGACACCATCTGCTTAAATTGATTATAAAATAATTAATAATTAAATAATAGCCATTCAATCAAAATTGAAAACGAACCTGGAGCTGGAATTTCATCTTCATCAAGTTCAATACGAACTCCGGACGAAGATGTAGAAACACCACAACCACCTGAACGGCAGAGAGAAATTGGAACCACTCCATAGACATAAGCTAACAATAATGGTACACCAATTCCAACGGCAACAGCGGCCAATATTGGCGAAACAAAAATTGAAGCCAAAACGCCAGTGGTTACAAACAAATTGCTTTTATGACGACTCATATGGTTTCGTTCAAAACGTGAATACAATTTACGACCAACCCATACAGGTATACCGATAATGATAGCCGGAACGGCTATACCAGCAATCAATGCAATACCAACTGGTGCTCCAACTAACATACCAAGTTGCCACATGATTTTCTTTTTTCGGCTCCATGGTTTTTTACCCCAAAATGTACAACCCGATGGTGAAAGATAATGTAAATCAGATATTTTCTGCATACAAAGCCAACAGAATTCAGTACCACAAACACTACATGTCATATGATTACAAGATCCATCATTCATCTTGATAATGAATACTTTACAACATGGACAAGGTTTTATATCTTCTCTTGGCACAAACGAATCCATCGATGTGGAAGCATGAGCTTGACTAAACAAATCATTAGCACGTGATGTAAATGTAACATTCGATTTGTTTGGATTTGGTGAACTAATAAATACTGATTTGCTATTGATAAAACCTCGTTGAGCACGTGCCTGATCACAAGTTTGACTTGGATGCCATTCCTGTTTACAATGATAACAGAATAATGTTTCACAACCAGGTCTTTCACATTTTAACATTGGACAACTGGCACAACCAGTAGCTATTACACAATAGTCACAATCAGGAGCCGGACACCATCTTACATCAGGATCGGTTATTAATGTTCGTCGAACCATAAATGATTCATATTTTTCAATGGCATTATGATCATTATGTAAAAGTGTTTTGATGTCATTTGGATGCATCAATTCTTGACATTGTAAACAAGTAATGTTAATTCGAGATTCATAGATTTCTATACGTAAATATTGTCGTAAACAATTAAAACAAGCTCGATGTTGGCATGTTATAAGCTCGGGAAATTGAAATAATGGCTGTTCTAAAAGACATATTGGACATTCATATGAATTTTGTTGTTTCATCGAATGACTAGTATTATTGTTGTTGTTGTTCGAATGAAAGGGCCAATTATCAATCTTTTTCGGTGTCATTGTATTTCGTTTGCGTCGTGAATCCAAAGCACGATGTTCGTTTGATGATTCGCTTGAATTCGAATGTAATGAAGGATTGTGTCGAATATAACTCTATATTTATACAACAAAATAAAGTTGAATCAACAATTTTTATTATTATCAAAAACATACCTTATTTTCATTCACATCATTTGATGAATCTTTCAAAGTTTTTGATTTCGATGAAATTGTTGTTGTTGTTGTTGGTCCATTCGGTAGATTTGATCCAAAAAATAATCGCCGAAGACGAAATCCAATATTATGTTTTTTATTATTGTTACTTGTTGCATTATTATTATTATTTACGATATTAGTATTTCCACACAATGTTGATGATGATGTTTTTGTTTGTTGCTGTGGCTGCTGCTGTTGTCGATGATGATTATCATTATTATTATTATTATTATTAGATGAACTTTGTGCCATTGTCACTGATGTTGAAGTACTATTATAATTATAATTATTATTATTATTATTACTATTGGCAAATAGGCCATTATTTAATGATGAAGTTTCATTTTTGTTCAATGAAGATTTCATCATCATAATCGATTGTTGTTGTTGATTATGATGATTATTATTTGGAACATTTCGTACCACTTCGATTACATTGGTTACAAGATTATCAACATGATGATGATTTCTATAATTATCGTTTTTTGACATTTTTTTTCTTTTTCTTCTTCTTTTCTTCACTTATCATTTATATATAAGAAACAACCAAACAGAAACAAAATCAATAATATAAATTGAATTGTAATGATGTTTTTCGTTTATTTTCGATGTGAAAGTTTATGCTATTTAAACAACAAAATGAAAAAAAAACAAACATTAATTAATATATAATAATTAGGAGAGAGAAAAAAAATAATACACAATCAATTCATTGTGATTGATTCAAACATGAAAAAAACATTTTCGCATTTAATGTTGCATGAATGAATGAATGATAATGATGAACAGAAAAAAAATCATTACGCGATCACAATCATTTATATTCGGTTGATTGATTCGTTTATTTCAAACTACTGTTGTGGTGTTTTTGTTCAGATCAAATTCCCAAACAAAATTTTTTTTTTAACATTATTCCACATTTCGCATAATCCTTAAAATAAAATATTCAAACTCTCAAAATATTCTCTAGAAGTTTTTTTTCACTGTTCATTCAAATTCCCTTCAACTTTTCATCATCATCATAATCATCTCTCATACAGTAGTAGCTGTTTTTTTTAAACACGTACAAATGCCATTTCGGAACAACAAAAAACATCAAAAACATTCATGTTAATGAATGAGACAAGAAAAACAAAAACAAAAAACAAATTCAAACTGAAAAATAAAGAAACTAGTTCAAGGTAAATCATGATAAATATATTATAGTTTGCAGAAAAAAAAAACAAAACAAAACTACTTTATAAATAAAAATGTTCCAACAATTATCATCATTATTGATGAATATCAAAAAAGAAAGAGAACTACGCAAACAGTGTCGTCATCAATATCATTCTTTTTTCTACACGTAAACAACACTATTTTGAATCATTCATATGGCTTTAGGTATTTTTATTTTTTGTTGAAATAATAATAAACACTTTTTTTCCAACGAAGGAAACGAAAGGAAAAAAACTTTTAAGGAAAAAAAATTAATAATTTTCCTTCTGTTCAATAAATTTCAGAAAGCTTCAAACACATAATATTACATTATTATGACTTTTAACATATTGCGGAAAGATTTAAAAAAAATGAAAAAAGTTTTCGGATTGTCATATGTTGTTGGCCAAGCGAGAAATGATAATAATAATAAACAAGTTTTCATCTATAACAAACAACAATTAATGATAATAATTTTTTTCATAATAATATCATTGTGATTAACGTTTTTAACATTTACCTTAACCGTATATGAACCAAAACGAATGAATAGAAAGAGTATCAAATTAAAGAAATTTACTGAAAATTTTTCACTATGACAACAACAACGAACAACGAACAATGGACATGTTTGTGTGTGTGTGTGTATTGTGGATTCACATCCCAGAAAACAAAAAAGAATACAGCTGTGTAATGACAATACGAAAATCAAATAAAAAAAATAATGAATAAATGACGTAAACAAATTCACACATTTGAAATAAAAAAAGACAAAAATGATAGAATCTAACCAAAAAAATATTATCATCATTATCGTCGTCATCATTTTATGATGACGTTGTCAGAGATCCATCTTTTTTCTTCATTTTTTTCAAATAAACAATCATTATCAATGGCGGATATGAACAGAAAAAAATGCAAACATAAAAAAAAATCAAACTAGGAAGATTGTTCAACAAAAAAAATTGAATGAATGAATGAATGAAAAAGCAAATTTGAAAAAAAATTTGATTATTGAATATTAACCGGTAATGGATTTTACTTTACATTTTTTTTGTTGTTGATTATCGATGATGGTTCAATTTTTTTTATGTATGAAAATAGAAACCAAACAAAAAAAAAACTTATTCAGATGTGATGGATAGTGTAAATGAAAATGAAATTGTATGACAAAAGTCACGAACAAATTGATGATGAACAATTGATTTAGTATGTATGTTTGATGTAATGACGAAATCCATCCATTCATCCATAATAATATGATGGATACATACAAATAACAATAACATCATCATCATCATCATCATTGACAACAAACATCAGGTACAGTTGGAACATGAGTAGTTGATGACAATCAATCGATACAAATCAACCAGCAAAAAAAAAAAAGAAGATAATGTTAAAACATCATCATCATTTTAAATATAATCGATTATAGAAATCGATAATACTTTTATTTTCTTTAGAAAATAAAATGCATCGAATCACATCATCACTGATCGAAATCGAATCAATATTTTTTTTTGTTGTTGATCAAATTTCATCATCATCATCATCATTGGTGTAAATAATATTTTGATGATGGCCAGAAAAAAAAATGTTACATCATTCATTCATTTATTGATTCTTTCATAATATAAATTCAATCATATGATGATCGATCAACATTCAATAGAGACAAATAAACAAATAAATAAATTCCATTGAGAANGGTAGATTTGATCCAAAAAATAATCGCCGAAGACGAAATCCAATATTATGTTTTTTATTATTGTTACTTGTTGCATTATTATTATTTACGATATTAGTATTTCCACACAATGTTGATGATGATGTTTTTGTTTGTTGCTGTGGTTGCTGCTGCTGTTGTCGATGATTATCATTATTATTATTATTATTATTAGATGAACTTTGTGCCATTGTCACTGATGTTGAAGTACTATTATAATTATAATTATTATTATTACTATTGGCAAATAGGCCATTATTTAATGATGAAGTTTCATTTTTGTTCAATGAAGATTTCATCATCATAATCGATTGTTGTTGTTGATTATGATGATTATTATTTGGAACATTTCGTACCACTTCGATTACATTGGTTACAAGATTATCAACATGATGATGATGATGATTTCTATAATTATCGTTTTTTGACATTTTTTTTCTTCTTCTTTTTTTCTTCACTTATCATTTATATAAGAAACAACCAAAAACCAAAAAAACAGAAACAAAATCAATAATATAAATTGAACTGTAATGATGTTTTTCGTTTATTTTCGATGTGAAAGTTTATGCTATTTAAACAATAACAAAAAAAATGAAAATGAAAAAAACAAACATTAATTAATATATAATGATTAGGAGAGAAAAAAAATAATAATACACAATCGATTCATTGATTGATTCAAACATGAAATTTAAAACATTTTCTTTTCGTATTTACTGTTGCATGAATGAATGAATGATAATGATGAACGAAAAAAAAAATCATTATGCGATCACAATCATTTATATTCGGTTGATTGATTCGTTTATTTCAATCTACTGTTGTGATGTTTTGTTTTTTTTTCAGATCAAATTCCCAAACAAAAAATTTTTTTTTTAAACATTAATCCACATTTCACATAATCCTAACAAAATATTCAAACTCTCAAAATATTCTCTAGAAGTTTTTTTTCACTGTTCATTCAAATTCCCTTCAACTTTTCATCATCATCATAATCATCTCTCATACAGTAGTAGTTTTGTTTTTAAAAACACGTACAAATGCCATTTCGGAACAACAAAAAACATCAAAAAACATTCATGTTAATGAATGAGACAAGAAAAACAAAAACAAAACAAGAAACAAATTCAAACTGAAAAATAAAGAAACTAGTTCAAGGTAAATCATGATAAATATATTATAGTTTGCAGAAAAAACATAACAAAACAAAACTACTTTATAAATAAAATGTTCCAACAATCATCATCATCATCATTATTATTGATGAATATCAAAAAGAGAACTACGCAAACAGTGTCGTCATCAATATCATTTTATACACGTAAACACAACACTATTTTGAATCATTCATATGGCTTTAGGTATTTTTATTTTTTGTTGAAATAATAATAAACACTTTTTTTCCAACGAAGGAAACGAAAGGAAAAAAACTTTTAAGGAAAAAAAATTAATAATTTTCCTTCTGTTCAATAAATTTCAGAAAGCTTCAAACACATAATATTACATTATTATGACTTTTTACATATTGCGGAAAGATTAAAAAAAGTTTTCGGATTGTCATAAGTTGTTGGCCAAGCGAGAAATAATAACAAACAACAATTAACAACAACAATAATGATGATAATAATTTTTTTCATAATAATATCATTGTGATTAACGTTTTTAACATTTAGGTAATCGTATATGAACCAAAATGAATGAAAATGAAAAGAGTATCAAATTAAAGAAATTTACTGAAAATTTTTCACTATGACAACAACAACGAACAATGGACATGTTTGTGTGTGTGTATTGTGGATTCACATCCCAGAAAACAAAAAAGAATACAGCTGTGTAATGACAAAAATCAAATAAAAAATAATAATGAATAAATGACGTAAACAAATTCACACATTTGAAATAAAAAAAAGACAAAAATGATAGAATCTAACAAAAAAAAAAATAAATAAATAAATATCATTATCGTCGTCATCATTTTATGATGACGTTGTCAGAGATCCATCTTTTTCATTTCGTTGTTTAAATAAACAATCATCAATGGCGGATATGAACAGAAAAAAATGCAAAATCAAACTAGGAAGATTGTTCAACAAAAAAATTGAATGAATGAATGAAAAAGCAAATTTGAAAAAAAATTATAATGAAAAAAATTGATTATTGAATATTAACCGGGAATGGATTTTACTTTACTTTTTTTTTGATTATCGATGATGGTCCAATTTGTGTGTATGAAAATAGTAACCAAACAAAACTTTTACAAATGTGATGGATAGTGAAAATGAAATTGTATGACAAAAGTCACGAACAAATTGATGATGATGAACAATTGATTTAGTATGTGTGTTTGATGTGTAATGACGACATCCATCTATTCATCCATAATAATATGATGGATAACAATAACAACATCATCATCATCATTGACAACAAACATCAGGTACAGTTGGAACATGAGTAGTTTTGATGACAATCAATCGATACAAATCAACCAGCAAAAAAAAAAAAGAAAAAAGAAAAAGATAATGTTAAAACATCATCATTCTAAACATTATTATTGAGTAAAATCGATTATAGAAATCGATAATACTTTTATTTACTTCAGAAAAAAATGCATCACATCATCATTTTAGATCGAAATCGAATCAATATTTTTTTTTAATGTTGATCAAATTTCATCATCATCGTCGGCGCAAATAATATTTGATGATGATGGCCAGAAAAAAAATGTTACATCATTCATTCATTCATTGATTTTATACCTAATCTTTCATAATATAAATTCAATCATATGATGATCGATCAACATTCAATAGAGACAAATAAACAAATAAATAAATTCCATTGAGAAACCCTAAGAAGAAAACCAAAAATTCCAAGAATCATATTCTAATTGAATGACCTAAGATTATTATTATTATCGAGAAGAATTAAGAATAAAAATTATTATTATTAAATAATATCGATGGTATTATGTAATAAAGCGAAAAAATTCCAAGTAGCAGAAAAGAAAACATTTTCTTTGAATAAATATCAATAATAATGATGATGTTGATTCAATCCTATTTATAAATACAAACATTCAAAAGATTTATGCATGGATTTTTGTTTCTTCTTCTGTTTTTGGACAAATAAAATGATGATCACCTTAGACAAAAAACAACAACAATAAAAATGGATACAAGGAACAAATTATCATTACATTTTCCGATCAACAACAACAACAAAAATATATATTTCTCTTTTACATAATCATCATCATCATCATCGATAATCTATAAAGGTCATCATCAAAAAAAAATAAAATGACATAATAAAGTAAAAAAAAATTTGAATAATAATTATAAATTTATTATTATTTGATTTTATCTTTTTATAAATAAAAATAAAATAAAATAAATGTCAAAAAACGAAACAAAAAATCATTGAACAACGTATTTGACGTAAAAGAAATAATAAATAAATAATCTATATGTACTGCGGTGTGGGGAAAAAAAACCTTTACCTGTTTCCATAAAAAAAAGACATCATTAATTTCTCTCTCTCTCTCTCACACTAAATGATGATAATAATTTTCATTCATTAATGTCCGAATCATTATTATCGATATATAATCATTATTATTATAATCAATGTGTTTCAATATCAAACATATCAAGGTAAACTCGTTTTTTTTCTTCTCTCATTCAATCAACTAAAAAAAACAAAATGATTCATTTTTTTTTTCTTTCTTTCTTACATCAACAAGAAAGAGATTTGTATTAGTCATACATTTTTCTGTTTCTATCAGGAAGAAAAAACAAAACAAAACAAAAAACACTGATGATGATGATGATGAGGATTCTAATAGAAATCAATTGCTTTAGAAAAAAAATAGAATGTTATGATTAACAAATCAAAGAAACAAAAATAAAAAACTGATAAAAAAATATTTACAACAATAAATTCCAATACAAAATTAATGAATCTCTCTATTTATAAATATTAGACACATTATAAGGCGAATCAATGTGTTTATTTCAATCAATCAATCATAAAAAAACACCATCATAAACATTCAACAAAACAAAACAAAACAAACATATAACACAAGGAAGTAGCCTTGAAGCCAAATATAAAAGTGAATTGTACAATAAACAGACACCCACACACACACACACACACTTATGATTTACGAAATAATTTCACAACCAACCAGACAACAACAACAACAACAAAATACGAAAAAAAAATGAAAAGTTGAAAACGGAAATCTATTATTATTATTAAATATATTTTAACCACATAGTTGTTGTTTGTGATGTATAAGTAAACAAAAAACAAACAAAATATCAAAATACCAAAAGATCTATATGAAAATCATCACAAATAAGTACACCACAAAAAGTAGAGAATAACAATTAAAATTTGATGATTTTGAATAACATGGAAATCATAAAATCAATGAAACAGTAACAACAACAGCTACAGATAAAATATTTACAGATTGCTGTTACCAAATCTAATTTCCAAAATAAATGAATCATCATCAAATATTAATCTGATTTGTTAATTAAAAAAACAACAACAAACATTACCCAATAAATAATGATGATAAAGTTTGATTTTTGATTTTAACAGAAAAAAAACGAGGTGACATATATTTAAAAACGAAAGCTAACCGTAATATAAAAACAATAAAAAAAAAGAAAACCGTAATTAAAGCAAAAAAAACTAAAACTAATAATGTTCTTATATTATATAAACTTCAAGTTCATGGCCGTCATATAGAAGATATTGAAGCGGAGAAAGAGAGAAAAGTGAGATCATTTCACATTCATAAAATAATGATGTGATATTGATTTGTGGCGATTTATTGATTTTTATCACCTTCATTTTTATACCAATTTCATGATTATAAGGATAAATCTCAAATAATTTTATACGCGTATTCAGCAAAAAAAAAAATTTCTAAATAAACACAACACACATACACACGAGCCTTTTCTATAGACAAAATAATCTTTGTGGCAAGTAATGATTTCCATCATCATCATCATCATCATCATCATCAGTATCAACAAATTTTATGTTGAAACATTTCGATGATATCATCATCATCAAAATTTTTTTTTATGATTCAAATTACTTATACACACTTTTTTTCTATAGGATGATAATCATCATTACATTACATTTATACAAATGGTTATATGAATTATCGATTATAAAATAAGACGATTGTCTAATCATCCAAGTCTATTTTTTTTTTGCTTACCAACTAAATCTAAATTCACTTCATTTAAATCAAAAGAAGAAAAAAAAACGGAAATTCAAAGTTTATTTTTTCTCAAAATATCTATCGGTGTTTGTGTGTGTGTTTATCAAAAATATAAGATTCATTCATGATTCGAATGATCGAGAACTTGTGTAATAAATTATTTATTATGTGATTGATTAGTACAAAAAAAAAAATTAATCGATTTTCAATCATCAATTTTTTTGTTTCATTTCGTTGATAATCGATTTGATTTTTGGTTTTTCTGAGTTCAATTTTTTCATTATCAACATCATATTGTAATGAAAAATTCTTTAGAAAACAAACAAAAAAAATTTGTAACATTATATCGACAATGCACACACACATACAAGACAAGAAAATTGTTCTCAAAAATCAAATCAATTCTATAGGATTTGATTTTGTTAATGAAATTTATTCCCACGGGCAAAGAATCAACAGTAACAATAACAACAACAAAATCATTGAAAATTTACCTTGAAAAAATTCCGATGAAATGATTATTGTGAATCGACATTGATAAAAAGTAAATTTTCAACAAAAACAAAACTTCAAAACTACATTACCAAAGGGAAAAAAACAAACAAACAAAATACAGATTAGAAGATGATCATTTGATTTTTATGCAAATCAGAATAAGAATTTTGTGAAATAGATGAAAAAAGAAACTTTACAAAAAAAAATTCTTAACAAATTTATTTACAACACAATTTCAACAATCTTGTGATTCTTTCGGTGCATATATCATCATCATCATCATTATTTAATGATGATGTTTTAGCAGCAATCGTTTGATGATGCAATAGAAAACATACAGAATATTTTTTGAGTTGAGATTTTCTTTTCGTTCGGATTTTTTTCTGCTGATGATGATGATGATAAGGATTACACGATTATAATACAACAGTACAGCACGGCTCAGTACAATTATATCACAAACAAAAAAATATTTAAATTGTGTGTAGACAATTCACACGCTTTAAAAGGATTCTCTCTCTCTCTCTCTCTCTCTCTCTCTCTCTCTCTCTCTTGATCTGTTACACTCTGCTTCTCACACCCAAAACTTACGAAGAAGAAGAAGAAGACGATGACAGAAATAACATAAGATTCTCAAATAGAAATTGAGAGAAAGAAACAAAAACAAAGACAAAATCGAAATAAGATACGAAAAATTTTGTTGTTTTTAAAAATGAAAAAAAAAATCGTCAACATTACCATTTACCAAATACAAAATGATTATTCAAAAATGTCTTATTGATTGAAATGTTTTTTTTTTTCAAACATACACTGTGTATTTTGCATGTAAAGTAAGTCGAATTGACGTCGAAAAAAAGAAGAAAGAAGAAATTATAATTTGAGCGCTTAAGACTTTAAGTTTATATGATGATGATGATGATGGGGTATATTTATATTGATGCTAAATTCAAAAAAAAGAAAGAAAATTATCATCATCAATAAACACAATTGTGGTGGATGGATGGATGTATGAATGTTGGATGGATGATAAAGAAAAAGAAAAGAAAAGAAAGAAAGAAAAGCTCACAAAATACAAAATACAGAAAAAAAAACTAATCGCATTTACACAACAACACAAAACAAAACAAAAAAACGAACGAATGAAATGAAAACACAATTTTTTTAGTTTTTGGTGGATTTTGATGACAAGTTTTTCTCTCTTTTTCTGTGTTTTTCACTTTGATTGTTTGAGTTTTTCTCTTTGGCTCTCTCCTTTTCGATATATCAAAAAAATCTCTTGCTTGTTTGTGTGTGATGATAAAAAAGGATATCTGTATGCTTCGTATTCGTTTTTTTTTCAGGATTCCATAACGACGACGACGCACAAAACAAGCATCGTTTATCTTTTTTCATTTTTTTTTTTTTGTTCAAGACGCACTAACCATATACAACAACATACACCTACACACACATCACATTAAAAAGAAACAACAACGAAAATACAGACGACGATTAAATGGATATATCCATCCATGGATCACAAAACGATTTTTGGAACGATAATACCACTACCACTTATTATCATTTGATTTGGAATTTTAAATCCACATCGCTTTATGCTACTACCACTGAATAATTGGGAAAAAATCAAGAATGTTCTGCCATCTAATGGTCATTTTTTTAGATATTTTAATTTTGATTTTGAGAAAAAAAAATTTTAAATTTTTTAATTTAGATTTTTTTTAAATTGAAAAAAATATTTTTTCTTCGATAAAGATGATGTGATCAACACGCGTTTGTCTGATTGTAAAAATCGAAAAAAAACAGTAAAACAGAAAAGAACAAAAGTCGATATAAATTGAGCAAAACCAAAACAAAATCGAATAAAATTCAAATTCAAAATTCAAATTAATTAAATGTTTGGCATTGTTGACAATCTTTCATTTCATCACGATATTCTTCAATCTGTACAGTAAGCTCATAGATATCATAACGTGATTTTATTTCACGAATTGTTGCATTCAAAATATGTGTCGATTCTTTTCCTTTTTCTAAATGTATATGAATTTGATGAAAAGAAAATTAAATTAATCATAAATAAATGAAATAAACATCAAACATACCGATGGCCAAATGTGTAGATAATGCTGCTTTATCTAGACTTAATGACCATATACGTAGATTATGTACTTTTCTTACACCATCAATATTCAATAATGTACGTTGTACCTCTTTTATATCGATACCTTTTGGTATACCTTCCATTAATACATTCAATACATCTCTCATTATAGTCAATGTTGTTATCAATACAATTATCGAGAAGAAAAATGTACAAATTGGATCAATAATACGATAATCCGGATAAAAATAGATTACTAATGATGCAATCAATACACCAAGACTTTGAAAAAAATCACCCAATACATG